TATAAATAGAGGCCAACAACAGCCCATTATCAGTTCCAAACATTCAACTGAGCCTCTTTAGCATAGTCTATAGATCACTCTGGCTTAATACTGAAATCCATTCTGTGGGGTGGTCACTCTTATTCCGTTGTCCTGCTCCCCAGATCTCCCTTCAATGTGCCTTGAGGAGACTTGTTCAAGGTGAGTCCCCCTCCCTCTATTTCATTCACCTCGCAATTTCTTTGCAACAATGACAAATTGCCTGGGAAAACGCAGAGCAACAAAACGATTCTGATAGCAGATCATTTTTCAACATTAAGAGCAAGTTATTTAACATTTGCCTTATGTTAGAAAGTCTGGAAAGGAACCACAGAGAAACCTTACAATGAGTCATCCATGCCCTCAGGACATGCCCTGAGTACCGTACTGGACTAACATGTTCATGAGCGCAGCATAGCACCATTTAATGCATATTATGGGCCATCCTTGTGTTCATGTTATCATATTTTGGCACCACTTCTCACCCTCCCTGGCAATAAAAGCACACCAGTGACAAATTAAATATCTAAAAAATTGCTGCCCTTTCATGAAGTCCAACATTGGTTGAATTATCCAGAAGTGGCCTCACTCTGCCTAATCGTAGAGGTGGCCTAATTTGGGATTTTCTAAGAGGAAAGACAGACTATAAATGAATATATAATGAGCAGGCCTGGCCTGAGACTTTTTGCTGCCTGAGACCATGGCCAAGTAGGTGTCACCTTTACACATGCAGAAGCTGACTGGGATGACAGTTGAATGCATCTTGGTGGCAGGGAATTGTCCCCCATCCTATCTGAGGGCAGCAGTTGTAGTGGATGACCCTTGCTCCAAAAAGTATGGTCAAAATTGAAGGGTTCAGGAACTCAGACCAGACCAAGTTTCATAAAATCATACACAGACTTTACTAAAACAACACTCTACAAGAAAGGAAGAACTCCAAATGATTACACAGATTAAAATAGAAGGTAAGAAAACAACAAACACGGACTTGTCCAGTTAATTAACATAAACACTTACACTTAAACCTCAGTAGGCTGTGCAACGGGACAAGATGGTGTCAAAAGCCCAAATAGACTCTTGACTGGCTGTCTGACAAGAGCTCCCACCAATCCAGGTTTTATAGGAACTAAGACCATGGGCGTTCACATCTTCCACCCAATTATCTTGTGACACCGGCCTTGAAGCCTTAACGGGAGACAGCTGTATGTAAGCTCATTATTTCTGAGGTTCCAGCCCATTCTCATAAACCAGTCTTAAAGGGGTGATATCACCCCAGCAGTCTAGCTTAAGAAGCAAGCACCAAGCTAGGGTGCTCTGTCCTTGGACACCTCATTGCCATCACTCATCCTTCCAGCATCCACCACTCAAAATGGTCACCTGATTCTTCCTAATGTTGGGGCCGGTCCTGATTGTGGTCCCCAGAGGCCTGCCATTTGGGCTGCATAATGTTACACAAGCTGACTATTTAGTACGGTGAACAATGAGTGCATTGTTATAATTCTAGATTGATTTTTTAAAAAAATTACATTGTAAGCTACCTTAAATGCTCTACCACTTATACCAGGCTGGGGGGGGGTGGATTAAGTGGTGGTATTCCACCAGTGGTTGAACATGCAGGTGAACAGGAATGTTCTCGGCAGTCTGCCTACAGATGCTAATCAGTGGAAGGCCCCCAGTTGGGATGTTCTGAGGCCAAGGATGAGATAGCCAGGGATCTGCTGGATCCCAAGCTGTTCTCATATCGTCACACAAAAGGATCAGGCCCAGTTGTTTTCCGCACTGCCATCCTAGCCCACCCTATTGCGGTGAGGCAAAGCAGGAATAGCCATAAACTCCTTGGAAGAGGGCAATTTGTCAGTTCCCATGCCGTTTCTTCACACAAATCTGTGAGGGGACAAAACAGCATTGAAGGAGGGAAAGATGGGCTGCTCACCTGTGCGAACTGGCCTCAAGATGTCAGAAAGATGCTTGCAGGGTTGTTTTTTTCCTGCTTAGAGAGGTCAAATCTTGAACATTAAAAAAAGAAGTTTTGTTTACAATTGAGGGTGCTCAACATCATGAATCACTTTTCACAACTTTTCAGGACGAAAGCAGGCTAGGCTCTGCTTTTGTTAAAATTGCCAGCCAAGTTCCTTTGGGGATTTGGTGGTGCCGAATCGATGCTGAATGAGAATTGCAACATAACCATGTCTTTGGTTATGGGCATTAGGCAGTCAACATGGCCTTGGGGGAGGCGGGTAGCAGCAGGATTCATACACAGATGGAGGCTGGAAAGCTAGTGCCAATGCAGACAGAGCAGGTGGGCAGAATAAAGGACTGTTAAAGCAAGGTCAGGCTTCTACAGACCTCAGAAGTGGAAGCACCATAAAGAACACAAGAGGAGCCTGCTGGATCCTGGTATGCCCCGCGGAGGACCTTAAGGTCCACAGATAACAACACTTTGGAGGTCCCAAGTCTCAAGGAGGTTAGATTGGTTTCAACTAGGGCCAGGGCCTTTTCAGCACTGGCCCCAACGTGGTGGAACGCTCTGTCACAAGAGACTAGGGCCCTGCGGGACTTGACATTTTCTGCAGGGCCTGCAAGACAGAGCTGTTCTGCCTGGCCTTTGGTTTGGACTCGGTCTGACCCTTATGTTTCCCTTCCCTTATGGTCTTGATTTATCGGCTACTTTAAAATGAGGCTGCATTTTAACCTGTATTTTAAATTGGTGTTTTTTTCCCCCTTCTCTTTTTCCCGTATTATGTTTTTACTGTGATTTTATTGGTGTTAGGTGCCCTGAGCCCGGCTCTGGCTGGGGAGGCCAGGGTATAAATAAAATTTATTATTATTATTATTAGTCCAGCATTCTGTTCTCACCATGGCCAGCCTGACACTTGTGGGAAGCCTGCAATCTGGCCATGAGCACAGCAGCATTCTGCCCACTGCCTGTGATTCTCAACAACTGGTATTCAGAGACATAACACTGTTGTTTTGCTATGAATAAGGAATCTTGTGTGGGCTTTTCTGAGAATGGAGCCGGCACAACAAGGCCTGACTGTGAAAAAGTCGCTCAGCAGGCAGGTTAGTGGGCAGCAGAATAGGAAGGGCATGTGTTGTAGAAATAGCTATGGCCCCCACCTGATGCAAAGAAAATTGAAATGACTTAAAAAGAAAAGAAAAGCCACCAGTCTTCCATTCCTTTTACTGGTAGGGCAGAAAACAGGAGGACCACAGTAGGTGAGGCTAGAACCAATGACAGGCAGAGCCAACTCATCCTAGTTTGTCCTCATCTACCTCCCTGCTGAGGGACGCGGGTGGCGCTGTGGGTTAAACCACAGAGCCTAGGACTTGCCGATCAGAAGGTTGGCGGTTCGAATCCCCGCGGCAGGGTGAGCTCCCGTTGCTCGGTCCCTGCTCCTGCCCACCTAGCAGTTCGAAAGCACTTCAAAGTGCAAGTAGATAAATAGGTACCACTCCGGCGGGAAGGTAAACGGTCTTTCCGTGTGCTGCTCTGGTTCGCCAGAAGCGGCTTAGTCATGCTGGCCACATGACCCGGAAGCTGTACGCAGGCTCCCTCAGCCAATAAAGCAAGATGAGTGCCACAACCCCAGAGTCGGTCACGAGTGGACCTAATGGTCAGGGGTCCCTTTACCTTTACCTCCCTCAGGTAACACTGAGATTAAGGAGGGGGAAGATGACACCCAGTTCCACCCCCTGGATGGGTTGTAAGGAAGATGGCAGGAAAGTAGGTGATGGCTGGGGCAGAGTGAAGTTGGTAGGGAAGTTCCCCATTTACCCAAATGGACCAGCATCCACGAGATTGCAGTATAAAGACAAGATCCTGCAAATTTGGTATCTGCTCACTCCTGGATTAGGGACCTCTCTATTGTACCCATGAAGTGTAATCCTAAATTGTCAGGAATATACAGCTTGGGGTGGGAGGAGAAAGAGGAAAAAGTGGTCCAAGGGATATAAAATGTATAATGAGCAGTTGCAATGACATAAAAGAAAATATTGACAGTGTGACCTATTAACAAGGTGGTTTTGGTGATAGACATTATGGAAGTTCCAGGTGTGTGTGGAGAGAGATATAAATACATGGTAAGGGTTAACATATGTTTAAGAGTGTGGAGTTGCCTTTTGAACACTTCCTTGTTGTGGTTTTATTAGTGTGTGTGTTTTCAAAAATTATATGTGTTTCCCCTCCTGCGTTTAGCAGGGCATAAGCGAAAAGCAAAACATTTTCACATCAACAAAATATTTTCTCTCTTTTCCTCACACTTCAGTTTCAGTTTATGGGGTTTTAATTATAGCCTCCAGAGTCCATAAATAAAACAGAGGGAAATGAAACGCCTCCTTGCGTTTTGCTAATTGTTGCACAGCAGCCGTTGAGTGCAAAGGCAGCGCCATCTACTGGTTGATCTGCACCAGATGCATTGCTCCAAAAAGTGATATTAGAAACACGCAGCCCCACCATGTGGCAGACAGTGGCCAATACGATTACTATACCAGTCATTCAAATAGGGGAAAGGCTGCAATGTAGTGTCGTGTAGATCTTGTTTTTCATGAAACACCATGCAAAATGGTTTGAGGTGTACAATTTCTTCTATAAATGCCTTATATGTTCCATGAGTCAGGAATCATACTGTTCAAACTGATATCTTAGAATGTGTAGGTAATAAAGGTAAAGGTAAAGGTACCCCTGACCATTAGGTCCAGTCACAGATGACTCTGGGGTTGCGCGCTCATCTCGCTCTATAGGCCGAGGGAGTCGGTGTTTGTCCACAGACAGCTTCCGGGTCATGTGGCCAGCATGACTAAGCCGCTTCTGGCGAACCAGAGCAGCGCACAGAAACACTGTTTACCTTCCCGCCAAAGCAGTACCTGTTTACCTACTTGCACTTGACGTGCTTTTGAACTGCTAGGTTGGCAGGAGCAGGGACCAAGCAACAGGAGCTCACCCAGTCATGGGGATTCGAACCGCCGACCTTCTGATCGGCAAGCCCTAGGCTCGCCCTAGGTTTAGGCCACAGCACCACCCGCCTCCCGAGAATGTGTAGGGATGGGCTATAAATCAATAGAAAAAGCAGATGGTGGTCACCATAGATTAATGGTAGACACCATGGAGGCAGTGATGGAAACTGCAGGAGGAGAGAATTTCTTGTACGTGCTTTTTGCTTGAGGGTCTCCCACATTCATCTGGTTGACCAGTATGAGATATTGGACTAGATGGGCCACTGTCTGATCCAGCGGGCTCCTCTTATGCCAGGCGTTTCCAAACTTTTTTCAAAGAGGGCCAGATTTGATGAAGTGAACATGTGTGAGGGCCATCCAAATTGAGCTTTTTTTTTTACAATTTTACCCACAGGGGCTGGATTAAACCAATGGATGGCCCAGATTAGGCCCCCAAAACTGACTTTTGACATGCCTGTCTTATGCCCTTTAGGTGCCCTCCAAATGTTGTTGGACTTCAATGCCCATTCGCCTCAGCCACCCTGGGCTATGGTCATGGATGATGGGAGTTGTAGTCTAACAGCATCTGGAGGGCACCCCACTCGTTATCCTTGCCACAGCACTGGATCAGAAGGTCCAATTGTCTTAATTTAAGAAAGCTTGTTAAAAAAGGGGGCCATAATTCAGTGGTAAAACACATTACTGGCCTGCAGAAAGTCCCAGACTGAATTCCTGCTGTCTCTAGTTAATATATCATACCCTTCCAGTGTCCTGATTTTCCTGGGATGGTCCCAGAATTACAGAAGCCCTTTCACCTTCCTCAGCAAAAGAGCGGGGAGGAAGAAACTATGATTTCCAGAAGCAGCCACAGCGGAAGTAGCCGCCAACCCACCAGCACCTTGATGTGCAGTGGCTTCCAGGAACCAGAGTCCTAGGCGGCATTTCCTTCAGTTCTCCTCCTCTGCCTTCAGCTTCCAGGGAAGGAATGTCATGGCTCCCATCAGGCACTGGCTCATGCAGCAGTGCAGCACCAAGAGATGTGCATCCTGATTGTCATCTGAAGAATGTTGGCAGGTGTGAAATAGCCATGCTAGTGTCATATCTTTATTGGAGCCAACTAAAATGTCTTGGAACACCGAGCAAACGTTTGAGTCCTCCAGCACTCTTCTTCAGGCTGGCTGTTAAGTGAAATAGTCACAATGGAAGAATCTCAGCAAGCCTGCAATTTTCAACAGTCTCAAGAAAGAGTGCAGGACGTGTTTTGGAGTCTTAAACTGCAATTCAGTCCTGTGACCAGAGAAAGTACATTGGAACTTACTACTGTTAATTAGGCTAGACTGTGCTAGGTGCATGTTATGTACTAACCTTGGATCCTAGAACAATAGGCAAGTAGGATCCTAGAATGCAAGAAGTGATTGGCTTGCAGGAGAAGACCAATCAGGCTCCAGGAAGAAGTTAATCGGCCTATTAGGCTGGTAGGAGCGTAGAATGAAACAACTGATTGGCCTGCAGGAAAAGACCAATCAGGCTATAGGAGGGAAGAAGAATCAGCCAATCAGATGGGACGCATTGTGTAAATAATGTATATAAAAGCCTGAGGTTTGGGGGGGCAATTCAATCACTGTTTTACAAGCTGCAATAAGGAGCATGAAATCACTACAGGACTCTGATTTCAGACTGTATTTTACACAGAGGGCTATTGAAACAAAAGGAAAGAAAAACAATGAGATGGAACAAGTGATTAGGCTGGCATGAAAAGCCTCTCTCCATGATTATTCCACTCCATGCACTGCAACACAGCAGGTGGGCAGCACTCCTCAAAAACACCAGATAGTGGGAGTCCTGTTGGGAGAAAAATAGTCTTCCTGGGCAATGAGCCTAAAGTTTAAGAGCAAGGGGTTTCTGTGGGGTGGAGTCATGACTATTGATTGGAAGTCTTGTCCTGTCCATGGCATTAGTGTGGGTGTGTTTAAGGATTTCCCAGTCTACACCATAGGAATACAGTGGTACCTCAGGTTAAGTACTTAATTCGTTCCGGAGGTCCGTACTTAACCTGAAACTGTTCTTAACCTGAAGCACCACTTTAGCAAATGGGGCCTCCAGTTGCTGCCACGCCGCCAGAGCCCGATTTCTGTTCTCATCCTGAAGCAAAGTTCTTAACCTGAAGCACTATTTCTGGGTTAGCAGAGTCTGTAACCTGAAGCGTATGTAACCTGAGGTACCACTATATGGTAGAAGTTCAATTGAAACAAAGGGCACTGGGAATTAGCTCTCTTACCAATCTGCCTAAAATTCATTCTTCTGGTTAGCCTTTAATTCACAAAAACCAAATCTAGTTAAATGTATTCCAAATTATATTACCCTTCCCACCTAGTCATGCACACCTGTGCCCCCAGAATCCTCTGTCATATTTTAAAGATCAGGCTTCCGCACTTTAAATAGCTCTGTTTCCTAGAACTATGTTTGAACACAGCTAAAGTGTCCAGAAACATGTGGCCTTCCAGATATTGTTCGACTCCAGTTCCATCAACCTCAGCCAGGAAAGAAGAAGAAGAGGAGGAGGAGGAGGAGTTTGGATTTGATATTCCGCTTTATCACTACCCGAAGGAGTCTCAAAGCGGCTAACATTCTCCTTTCCCTTCCTCCCCCACAACAAACACTCTGTGAGGTGAGTGGGGCTGAGAGACTTCAGAGAAGTGTGACTAGCCCAAGGTCACCCAGCAGCTGCATGTGGAGGAGCGGAGACGCGAACCCGGTTCCCCAGATTACGAATCTACCGCTCTTAACCACTACACCACAACGGCAAGAGCATTGTAGCTGAGAAGCATCTGGAGGACCACAGGTTCCCCCACGTGCACCAGAAGCAAATCTTAGGATACGGAATCAGAATCATAAAACAGCTGGAAGGGACCACAAGGGTCAACTAGTCCAACCTCGTGCAATTCAGGAATCTTTCACCCCATGTGGGGCTCAAACTCCCGATCCTGAGATTAAGAGCCCCATGCTCTACTGACTGGGTAGAGTTATACCTCAGTTGTGTAGAATAACTGAAAAAAAATTATAATGATAGGGTGACGAGTTGTTCAGAGGTATAGAGCGCCAACACTTAACCCCACTTTTCCAACCATAACCAGGGCAAAGGAAGAATTTTTATATTGCCTTTGAATACACACATTGAAATACACACATTGAAAAATGAAGTTGGTAGCAAGAGATGAACAAACAGCATTCTAACCCTAAACATGCAATTCAGTTTTAATACAAAAGTTTCTTAAAGGCTACAAAATTGCTTTGGTTATTAGTTCTGCATTAAGCACTTTGCAGACGAAGAGTATATGTCATGTCATCATTGTAACATACAGTAGTTTGCACAGTATATTTAAACAAGAAATAGGCATTTCTTCCTCCAATTCCCGAAGTTCTTTTGCAAAGGCTTCTTTCCTGCAGAACAGAAACAGAAGTTAATAAATTATTGCGATGACATGAAAACACTTCTCTGCTACACGCGGGGGAGGACATACTTACCCTCTTTTAAGAGAAGACAAACCAAACCATTAATACACACCCTGCAAGCCATCCAAGCAAGAGGAGGGCTGGTACAACATAAGTGGAATACGGGATTGTCTCTGAAGAAAGAAAATAAAGGTTTTATTCACATTGTGGCTGGAGACATAACGTATGAAGGTCTTTAAGAGGAATATTTTGATTCCAGAGACTGGGAACCCATCAAAGGTTTAGAAAAGGATACCTCTCCCAGCCAGCCAGCCCAGTCAGGCCTGCCACCAGCAGTCAGTCAGTTCAGGAACTGTCCAAAGGTCCCAGGGAATTAGAGTTTCACTGTGGCTCAACTCTGCTGTGCCACCAATCACTGCTCTCTGCCTTAGCAGACGGAAGTACCACATTGGGAGCCAAGCATTCATCCCATCCACCATGATGGTTAAGGCATCCGAACTGCAATGCCCTGCCATATACCGTATTTTTCGCTCCAAAAGACACAATTTTTTCTTTCCTAAAAAGTAAGGGGAAATGTCTGTTCCTCTTATGGAGCAAATGCGTGGTCCCTGGAGCCAAATTGCCCAGGGGCAAAAAGCAGATCAGGCTCTCTCTCTCTCTCTCTTTTTTTTTTTTTTTTTGAGAGAGGGAAGTGGGTGTTGAAACAAAGTCGCTGATCATTTGCCGATCCGGGAGAGAGATAAGGGATGCTAGAGATAAAGGAGGCTGCCAGGGAGGTGGGAGGTAAAGACAGCAAACTTGCAAAAGGGGGAAACAGGAAGACTAAAGCAATAAGGAGAGAAATTAGAAGAAAAGGAGGAGCAAAAAACTGCTCCAGCTAAGGAAAAGTCACTACACTAAGGCAAACAAGAAGGAAGGGAGTATTGAAAGAAAACATCTGATCGGTGGGATCGGAAGAGAGATAAGGGACGCTAGCGGAGGCTGCCTGGAAGGGGGGAGGTAAAAGCCCATGGATCCTCAGGATTTTTACATTGGGTCACCCCAAATTCACAATCAGATCACATATCTTTGGCCACAGCATGAACCACAAAAATCATACACCCACTGTTTCATTCAGAATTTTTTTTCTCTTGTTTTCCTCCTCTATAAACTAGGTGTGTCTTATGGCCAGGTCGTCTTATGTAGCGAAAAATACGGTAGATCCATGAAAGCTGTTGATTCCATTGACCCTTAGTCCATAGACTTTCATTTGGGGTAAGTTAAGATGCTGCCATTGCAAAAGGGAGCTAACTTTGGCTCACATTGAGTGGTGGCGTCTCCACCTGCCCATTGCTAAAATGACTACCTTGGGGCCTGGCAGGGAGGAGTTTTTCAAGGAAACCATAGCACGAGCAGGAGGGCCAGGGGAAGAATGCTACACAGCTTCATTGGGCGAGTATCAGTAGTCTGGCGCTGGCTCTGATCCAAGTCCCCACAAACCCAAACTCTTTATGATCCACTCAGTTTCCTAACACGGAGGAAGCACTTGCTTACATTTCTCCTACTGAAACCAAAAGGATCTACTTACTTATTGTTACAAATACTTATAACCTCTCCTTCGCTGTATGGCCCCAGGGTGGGACACACATACTAGTATAACAAATTAAAACAGCATATAAACAGCATATATAGATATGTGGAATGGTGATGAATGTTGTTTTTGGTTTGCTGCTCATCTTAATCTTCTAAATGGTTGTTTTTAACCGTTTTCACCTATAATTTTACTTCTGTAAACCGCTTTGATGGTTTTTTGTTTTTTTACAACCAAGCAGTGTATAAATTTTACAAAGTAAATATATGAACCTTGATTAAAGCCACACTTTTAAAACCACCTCACAACTAACAATTAAAAACAATGAGCTTGGGGACTATATAATCACCTTTTGACGCCATTTTTGTACCGGACATGTTGCTTGCTAATAGTGGGCAAAACAGAAGCTTAGTTTGGTTGCTAAAAGAGGAGGGTGATATAAGCCACAGTCATTACTATGTACAGTGAAGAGATTTCACTTTTTGCCCACTGAAAGGACTGCCAATTTATTTACCTTTTATTTTATTCGTTTTGAATGTAGGAACAAATACCCAATAATTATTGTTCTCCCCTGTTCCCCGCCCATAACAGCCCCAACTACGTCTAGCTGTATAAGCAATAATAAAATAAAACATCAATTCAATCGTTGCCGATTTAAAAAGTCTCACTCCACAGGTCTCCTTGTGTATTTATTAGTGTATTACACATCTATCCCATCCACCCCCGTGAGTTCAAGGTGATGTACTTTTTTTCCTTTCTGCTTTATCCTTGCGATAACCCTGTAGGTTAGGCTGAGAGACAGTGCTTTTCAGCACTGCAGCTGAAACTGATTTCCTCTGGCATGAGGTCACTGCAGACTTATTGGTACTGTGTTATTTGCCTGGAATTTTCACATATCCAGTCTGAATGGCTGCCCTGTCAGGTGTCTCAGGTGGCTGCCCAGCTCCTTTAGAAATCCTCCATCTCTGATTATTATTTTTTAATCAAACTTACACAGTTGAATGTCTGTGTGCCACAAAGCTGTTAAAGGTACAAGGGTCCCATCAACCCTAAACCATGCAAAGAACTCAAGGTTAATGTTATCAGGTCTTGCCTCAGACTAAGCTTCATCTGGCAGTACCACATGGTTTGAATCTAGAGAAAAATTAGAGTCACACGTAGCAAGGAAAGCCCCAAAATTAACCGGGAAATCCCTTCTCTGTTATTTGGAGAAGGGAATTCCAGAAGCAATCACAACTCTGGTTAAATACAACGAAAGAAGGAACAGACTAATATTTCAGAAATCAATTGCTCTGAATGTTGCCTGAACATGTTGTTTCATAACTTTCATTCTACGAGGGCTTGATATTTATTTTAGGAAGGAAGGAAGGAAGGAAGGAAGGAAGGAAGGAAGGAAGGAAGCTCTGGGACTGGTACAACAGTACTCCCTCTTGGCAGTCTTGTGTTCTTCATTAAGCAAACAATTTCATCACAAGAATGCATGACACAGTGTAATGGTACTATTTTGGACACTGTTGCAACACAGGCTAAACTTGGGTTACCTCTGCATCATTGCGAAGGATCCTACTGCTTGAGGGTGCACAGAGCACCCAGAAATGCAATGCACTTCGCAGACATTTTTGCAATATGCAAACCTTACGTACACGGCTCATCACCATAGCATTAATTTGTGCTCATATATATATATATATATATATATATAATAAAAAGTGTTATTAACTTAATATTCCTTAACAGGGTGGTGGAAAACTGCAGAATAATGATAATAAAAATAACAATAAAAATGATTTATTATTTATACCCCGCCCATTTGGCCGGGCCTCCCCAGCCACTCTGGGCGGCTTCCAACAAAATATTAAAATACAGTAATGCATCAGACATTAAAAGCTTCCCTAAACAGGGCTGCCTTCAGAAGAGTTCTAAGAGAGCAAAGCCGTAAAACATGCTCTTTAACCGAGATCCAATTTAGCTGAAAGAAGACAATGAAAGGGGAAGAGTCAGAGACATTGAAACACCCACCATATGTCATGAGGCAATGAGCAGCTGGCTGGGAGAGATACTGTTTCAGGGGAATCGTTAAAGGCATGAAGGCCTGCCAATGGCACACAAATAAATGGGGCAGACATCAGTGCAGGTTGCCAGAATAAATATCCCCAGAAGCCACTCCCTCTGGGGTAATACATAAAATGAGTTCATTGGTTTCTTCATTCCAGAGATGACATTTGTGCATTCTCTCTTTCAGTTAACAAAACTTCAGTACAAAAACATAATAATTAAAACGGTCATAAAAACTACCAAGTTACAGTGCACGCCTATACATGCCCATTTGGAAGTAAACCCATTGAAACTGGTGGTGCTTACTCCCAGGTAACAGGAGGTATGATTGCAACAAAACCTGAAGCTTTCCTTTTAGGAATCCTAGGTGCCGAAATCCCAAGGGAGCAGAAAATAGTATTTATGTATGCGACCACGGCTGCGCGGATATTATTGGCCCAGAGATGGAAAGAAGATAAAGTTCCTATCAAAGAAGAATGGCAGATAAATTTAATGGACTGTGCCAAAAGGGCTAAAATGACCAGAAGAGTCAGAAATTAGGAAAACCAAAATTTTAGTAAGTAATGGGGGAAATTTATAACTTATCTTAAAGACCATTGTAAGCTAATTGCTAGTACGATTGGAATATCACTTGTAGTTTAATGGTGAAGTTTGGATACAATGTAGAGATAAAAGATTTGGATTATTATAAAAGATGCAGGAGGAAATGATTTACAATAGGACCCACAAAGGGGAAGAGGGAAGTCCAAGAGATTCCTTGGAATCTTGTTTTTCTGTTGTATGATGGAGATGTGAATGTAAAATGTTAATCTGAAAAACCAAATAAATGATTTTTATTTTTTTTAAGGAGGTATGATTGCAACAAGTAGGCCACGTATCCACAGCAGTGACCAGAGCAGGAATGACCACTGGGAGGAGCGCAGAGAAGAAATTCCATGGTGCATCTGCAGCAGCACAACTGGACGCCTTCATTTGCCCCAGCTGCAAAGAAACATGTCTCTCCTGCATCAGTCTCTAGAGCCACAGCAAGCACAGCAAGCGCTGTGGCTCTCCAATGGTTTGACTTCACCCCCAAAGGCACACTCCTCCATTGTCTCCCAAGACAAATGGATGCCAACCACAAAAATAAGCCTAGGTGGGGAGGGGATGCTTGTTGCAACAAAAATGATCCTGTCTTCCTGATGAACGTTTAGTAGCAGCAAGGACAGTATTGGATGGTGTGGGGAGGCTGCATCGCTCACTTCCCTCCAACGCAGTTGCTGCAGCGTACCAGGATGGAGAGGGGGAGGGTTGGTGGTGGCAAGGTTGGCACATTGCAAATGAGGCAGCAGGAGCACTGTACTGGCTCCATTGCTGTGTTTGCACTGCATCAACCTCACCACCGCCACACCCCTCTCTATCCTGTATACCTGAAGGAGTGTCTCCACCCCCATCATTCAGCCCGGACACTGAGATCCAGCACCGAGGGCCTTCTGGCAGTTCCCTCATTGCAAGAAGTGAGGTTACAGGGAACCAGGCAGAGGGCCTTCTCGGTAGTGGTGCCAGCCTTGTGGAACACCCTCCCTTCAGATATGAAGGAAATAAGCAGCTATCCTATCTTTAAAAGACATCTGAAGGCAGCCCTGTTTAGGGAAGTTTAATGCTGTATTGTTTTTAACACTCGATTGGGAGCCGCCCAGAGTGGCTGGGGAAACTCAGGCAGATGGGCGGGGTATAAATAATATATTATTATTATTATTATTATTATTATACACAGCTGGCCAGGGGAACAGAAGAGCCCCAGCATGTCATCTGCTGCTGGGCAAGGGGCTCAAGTGAATGCTATAAAGACAAAGATACAACAGAGCATCATGTTTTAGTCTGCAACTTTCATCTAAGTTTATCTCCACTCGGGGAGGGGTACAAAAAACAGTACAGAAAGTGTCAGTAAATATTAAATGCCAAATTTCTGTCTTACTTGCTATTGAAACTAAAAGAGAAATCTGTTCACAGTTTCAAGTTCTATTATTAATCGATAAACAAAAGCAATGTAAAACAGAATTTTGATGCTCAATTCTCCTTAAAGGTACATACTGTACTGTGCTTACATTGGCTACATTTTCAAACTTAATTTTTACAGCATGGTAGCTACATTTAAATCACAGTACCATTTAAGATTATATGCATTGGGTTCATCCGTAGAGCTAGCAACTTTAGCTTTCTGCTGAGAAAGGAAAAGCATTCAGCTACTCACTCCTACTAAAGGATGCTTGTAGAATTACCAAACAATCAAAGTAATGCAGAAGAAAGAAAAAGCACTTTTTAAATAATCCAATGGAAAACAAGACTAGGTTGCTAATAAATGAGATTGCAGTACCCTAAAAATAAAAGAGCCCAACCACAAACTTAAAGAGGAAGGGCTAAGCTCTTATCCATGACTTTTGCACACAGGTGATCAACAATTCTAAAACATTTTGGCTTTTCACCATACCTGATTTTTCCATTCCTCTCTTGTGTGTCTAAGCAGAACTGATTTAACATTCGACTCTGCTGTTACATCTCTGAGGCTTCTGGAGCTTTAAATAGAGCAAAATCTGGAATGCATTGCACCTGCTTCTTTCACTAGTGTAAGTTATCTGCATTCAATGGTTGGAAAAGACAGGAATTTGGGCCCTTACACTTTACAGGTCATTCTGTCCATTATTAGCGTAGAGCAGAGCTTTGAGAATTCTCACGTGGTGTTTTTGCCGGTCAGTCAAGCAAATTCTGATACCTTTTTTATAATGACTCTAATACAGCTAAGGCAGAGGTAGTCAAAACGGTGCCTTTCAGATGTTCTTGGATGACAACTCAGTCCCAGCCAGCATGGTGAAGCATGATGGGAGTTGTGATTTGTTTGGTTTTTTCCAATATAATCTTTATTAGTTTTCCAAATTTCACACTTTAAATGCATATTATATTACATTTTACATTTGTAATTTGCTCCTATGAGCTGACTTCCCTCCTTCCCTCTTCTAATTTCTTTTTGTCACTTCCAAATTTTTCGCAATGTCTTTTATCCCATTGCATGGGAGTTGTAAACGGCCTTGGTCCAGTATATCTGAAGGAGCGTCTCCACCCCCATCGTTCTACCCGGACACTGAGGTCCAGCACCGAGGGCCTTCTGGCGGTTCCCTCACTGCGAGAAGCCAAGTTACAGGGAACCAGGCAGAGGGCCTTCTCGGTAGTGGCGCCTTCCCTGTGGAACACCCTCCCACCAAATGTCAAAGAGAACAACAACTACCAGGCTTTTAGAAGACATCTGAAGGCAGCCCTGTTTCGGGAAGCTTTTAATGTTTGATGTATTATAGTATTTTAATATTCTTTTGGAAGCCGCCCAGAGTGGCCGGGGAAGCCCAGCCAAATGGGCGGGGTATAAATAATAAATTATTATTATTATTATTATTATTATTATTATTATTATTATTATAGTTCAATGACCTCTAGAAGACACAGCATTGACTATCCCTGAGCTACGGAATATGTCATCATGCAAATTATCCCTGCACAGATATAACCACAAACTTGATGCTTTTTCTCACTGGGATTAGGCATTAAATGAAGCTTTGCTTAAAACTTTGCTCCAAAATGGAGGACTTATATTTGACTCTTTCATCTTGAGTGTCATTTCACTTTTATCACCAGGTCAAAACAGAATAAACTTTAGCTGGACCAAAAGGAGAATGGGGATTATGGAAACAAGGAATCACAAAACTCTGGATGCCGTAAGCTTCTGTTCCTATTTTAGGAGGTATTCTCTGTTCTGGTGTAATGCTAATGACTGCACCAGGTTCCCTTGAGATATTTTGGATTTCAACTCCCATCATGCCCCAGCCAGCATGCCAATGGTCAGGGATGATGGGAGTTGTACTCCAAAATAACTGGAGGGTATCAGGTTGGGAAAGGCTGACTTGAATTTATAAGATATAACCAAGTCTGATATGAATGTATTTTCCACACGTTAAATTGCATAGGATTTAGATTATGGTGCAGAATTCAACATTATACAGTATAATAATATAATAATATAATAATTTATTATTTATACCCCACCCATCTAGCTGGGTTTCCCCAGCCACTCTGGGAGGTTTCCAACAGAATATTAAAATACAATAACCTATTAAACATTAAAAGCTTCCCTAAACAGGGCTGCCTTCAGATGTCTTCTAAAAGTCTGGTAGTTGTTTTTCTCTTTGACATCTGGTGGGAGGGCATTCCACAGGACGGGTGCCACTACCGAGAAGGCCCTCTGTCTAGTTCCCTGTAACTTGGCTTCTCGCAGCGAGTGAACCGCCAGAAGGCCCTGGGTGCTGGACCTCAGTGTCCTGGCAGAACGATGGAGGTGGAGACACTCCTTCAGGTATACTGGACCGAGGCCGTTTAGGCCTTTAAAGGTCAGCACCAACACTTTGAATTGTGCTCCGAAACGTACTGGGAGCCAGTGTAGGTCTTTCAAGACCAGTGTTATATGGTCTCGGTGGCTGCTCCCAGTCAACAGTCTGGCTGCCACATTCTGGATTAGTTGTAGTTTCAGTTTGAGCACTTATGTGGGCCAGCCCTACCCTTAGGCAAAGTATGGTAGCCATTTCAGGCAGCTGAGTTTGGGTACCATGAAAAGCAACCAGATTGTTAGTCATATCGTTTATTGTTACTGTATCGTATGTTCTACCACCTCCACTTTCCGAGGCAGTATAGCTCTGACTACCAATTGCTGGGGATCATAAATGGGGAGAATGCTGCTGTATTGAGGTCCTGCTTTGCATGCTTCCCATGGGCATCTTGGTTAGCCACTGTGAGAAGAGGATGCTGGAATAGATGGACCACCAGCCTGACTCAGCAAGGCACTTCTTATGTTTTCCTTGCACATGAAGTGCTTATGGGATTTTCCACCTCAGATGCAAAAATAACTTGACTAGCCTTGGTTCCTATGTACCTAGGTTTGAGGAGGCGGGCACTTCAGACAGAAAAACGAATAAAGCAGCAAATGAATAAATATGCATGTAGAGTTCTGCCTGGCCTCAGTTTAAAATTCACTGCATTCATTGCATTTTCTTTCCTGTCTCTCAGGCATCTCTCTCTCACCCAGCTTTACCTTCATTATGCCAGACAAAATCCACTCCCTCTCACACTTAAGCCCTAATGAGCAATCTAATCCATGATTTGACTTCCTTAGAACAGCTAAGCAGGATCCTGTATATAAATGAAGATTAGTGAGAGGGGCTGGCACATTTTGTTAGATGAAATACTATTTCTCATATATATACATGTATTTTGACAGCACTTAAGCTTGGACAAGACATTGTGTGGTATCTGGAAAAAATGGATCTGATACGCAATCCTATTTTATAGCTTTTGGGCACAATGTGCAAAGGGAGACTTGCACGAGGACTGAAACACTTGGGGGAAATGGGGAAAAAGAGCTGTACATAAATCTCTATAAAAGACTCGTCTGATGACTGCTTGGGATATTTTTGATATCAAAGTTTATACTGCAAATAATTCAAAAACTGTCCTGATAAAGACATCAGTGAAACGATCCATTTCTAGCAACAAATGAGAATTCTTGTGGCTGTAAATCTGTTTTAATTCTGAATTGTTGTCACTCTCCCTAGGACCTGCTGGCGAGCAATGGGTAATAATTTTATTAATTTAGGAGTAGGAGTAGTAAATAAGTAAAGGAGTAAATAAGTAATATTCTGTTTGTTTCAGATGTGACAATCAGATAGAAGCAGGAACAGGAATCACAGCTGATTAAGACTTTCAGTCTCAATCAAAATCATTTATACACATCTATCCCAGTGGGGAGATGCACAAATTGTATCCTTCCTCAACAGAGCTGGATTTAGGGCAGTACGACTGGTTCTACCGCCCTGGGCACCTAGCCTTGGGGTTGCCACAAGGTGTCATAACTATGACATATTAAATTGAGGTGCGAGGCTTGGGGAGGCAAATTTTTGCCCCACACAGGGCACCACTGAAATTTGAAAGACCAAGGTCTGCCCCTTGTTGTTGTTCTTGTTGTTGTTCTTGTTGTTGTTTTGTTTTGTTTTGTTTTGTTTTGTTTTTTCCTGCAAGAAATTTTTAATTCTGTTACAACTTATGACCTTAATAGTCAAAATCCTCTTTTGCCAAACACTTTCATGCTGTTAATGGCATTAACTTCTGTTTGACTGGTTCCCTCAGTAGACATCTATAAAGTTTTTAACTAGATAATATGCCTTGAGCTAAAAAAGTTCCATGTTTTTTTCCAAGTAGTAAGCAGACATATTATAAAATGTCCATCTCCTTGGCAAGCAAGGAATGTTGATATTCAGCATTAAGTACAGGGAAATACAAATTCTATGCCTGACAAGGCAGAGAAGAATAGAGTATAGAAGTATAGAGTATAGGTGATTACTAGTCTCTTAAATTCTTTTTAAGAATTGGAAGTCAGTGCAATAAGGAAGTTCACAAGCCCAGAGGAGCAAAACTGAAAAAGCTCTAGACCTGGTAATGATGGGTAGAGCATTCCAAACCCGGGTTGGAGGAGGCCTGGTTGAATTGTATTTCAACATGGGTGATAGGACAATATCCTTTAGTACATCCATGGGTAGCATTGGAAAATAGGCGGAACAGACCGGCCCAGATAGCACACATAGTTCTGCCCTTCAAAACCTTGCTGATTCTTGTTATCACCATCATCCCAAAGCATCTGATGCCTGAACCAACTTCCTTATGATGGCAATCCACTTTAAACCCAGGGGCCACATTGCCTTGTGGATAGTTTTCTGGGAAATAATAATAATAATAATAATAATAATGACCATCTGGCTGGACTTCCCCTAGTTTGTGGGGCCAGAGACACGCTTGGGGGACACCCAAAAATATATAAATATAGATATATATACACAGACAGACGCCTTCACAGACAGAGCCAGTGTGGTGTAGTGGTTAAGAGCAGTAGACTCATAATCTGGTGAACTGCGTTCATGTCTCCGCTCCTCCACATGCAGCTGCTGGGTGACCTTGGGCTAGTCACACTTCTGTGAAGTCTCTCAGCCCCACTCACCTCACAGTTTGTTGTGGGGGAGGAAGGGAAAGGAGAATGCTAGCTCCTTTGAGACTCCTTCGAGTAGTGATAAAGCAGGATATCAAATCCAAACTACTCCTCCTCTTTTTCTTCTTCTTTTTCTTCACCCAGGCAGGCAAGAAGCACTACTACAAGTCAAGGGCACATTTCAGTCAGGAAAAAGCAGCCAAAGAAGTTGTGGAGCAAATTAAATGATGGTCAAATCTGAATAAATTCAGGCAATCTGTAAAACATATCACTGGCTGTTGTTCTGTGTTCTCACGCTAAACATATGCCGAGTGCTGCCTGGTGTATTGTGACATGCCAGGAGACAAAGATAAGCAGGTTAAATTTGACACTGGAGATAACAGACCTTTAGAGAACAGGATCCTGGGCCTTGTAGAAAGATATATGGTTCTGTTCCCTTTATAACACAGAAATATTTATTTCAAAATTCACAGGTCAAAGGAACCTCTTTGGCCAGGGTGCTTGTGCATGCCAACCCTATCTGTTGTGCTTCGGCTAATTATATACCACACACACCTGATCTAGTGGAAATAATTTCTACCGCGAACAATGTATTCCCAACAAGACGTGTTGACCTTTGCAGATTGGTTCCTTTCCAGTCCTCGTTGTTCTGAGCAAGGACATGGAGTCAACATTCCCAGTAGCAGTTTATTTAAGTATGTTCATTTAGTTAAAAGCTCGGGGGGGGGGGAGAATGCAGATCAGCAAAACCAGACCTGGAACGTGCAAAGTTTAAGGACATAATGCAAGCCATTTTAGAAAAGTTATGAAAGTCAAGCAGAAACAACTTGCATAGCCTCCAATATTTATCTGACGAAAACAGGGACGTCCTATTCCATAATAATAAGAAAAAGAATTATACTATTTATACCCCACCCATCTGATTGGGTTGCCACTCTGGGGAGCTTCCAACATACATAAAAACATAATTAAACATTAAACTTATATATATATATTAAAAAACCTTCCCTATACAGGGCTGCCTTCAGATGCCTCAGGATCTGATAATTCCATACCCTCCATCCTTCTTTGATGAAAATAGGGACGTCCTAAGGAAAAATGGGACATTTTGGGATCAAATCAGAAGCTGGGACGGCTTCTGTAAATATGGGATGGTCTGGACTAAATGAAGTTGCCATCTTTTTAGGATGATTGAGGGGGGCCGTGTACAACACCATGCAATGCCCTGATGCCACATGTGCAATGCTGCAAGGAGCCAGGGGTGGAGCCAAACACCCCCAGAATATTGAGGGGGCTCGGCCCCCACAAAAAAAATACCGTGGGGTGGCCAAAGCTGCCTTGTCCCCTAGGAGTTGGCATGCCTGACAGTAAACACTTGTTCTGACGTCCACATAAGTAAAGAAGTAAAGGCCTGCTGTATGTGAGCATGCAATTTCTAGACAAGAAAAACAGTGCAGTCCTAAACTTAAAGCATAGATGTATTGTGCTGTTATGTACTGAGTTGAATAGGATCCAAAATGCAGCAGTCTGATTGGTCCTAGAACAATAGGATTCAGAATGCAGCAGTCTGATTGGTCCTAGAACAATGCAGCAGTATGATTGGTCCGCAGCAGCCACCCAATCCAGCTCCAGATGGAAGTGAATCCACAACCTGATTGGCTTACAGGAGAATCCTGGAATTAGCCAATCACGTGCAGCCCATTGTGTAAATAATGTATATAAAGCAGATACTTTGGGGGAACTTCCATTCCTCCTCACCACTATGAGCTGAATAAAGAGCATGAAATCCACTCTCGACTCAGAGTATATTTCATGTGCCATGAATCATATCTTATCAGATACAATTGAGATGTAATAATAAAATACACTGGCCAGGTTTGGACATCAGGGTGAACCGTTGTTTACTGCGCATGTGCTGATTAGAAGGACGGGGGATGAATTTGTTCCAGTTTGCATTTAAAGGCTGATCTACCCAATTTGTGCTTCCTGAAACCATGTGTGAACCAAATCACAGCCATCCTTCAAAATTCACACTTCTTTGACATTTGTGATGCTGTTTCCCAGGCAAATAATGTGTGCAAAAATGTGTGCTAAATGCATAGATTTGGGGAAAAGGCTTGTTAAAAAGTGTATGCATTAGGCAAAAATGCATACAACGATTATTATTTATGTTATGATATTATTGATTATGTATACCCAATGTATCAGTCGCCCGGGGGGGGTTTCACTGTTTGTGTTTTGGTTGTTGGTAAAAAATAAAAAATTTAAACATTAAAAACCCCAAAGATTATTATTTATAAAATTTATATCTCACCCTTCCTCCCATAGGATTATTTATGAGAAATAAGCACTAAAATGCAAACAATTTTTTTTATGAGCACTTTAAAAAGAAACTGATGCAGAAATGTAGAGAGCTGAATTTAAGTTTGGAAAAAATGAGAAGCTGAAATTGGTAGAGCCTCCCATTCCTAGCCTATTGCAGCCACTTTGCTGCTCCCAAGTCATGTGGGGGAGAAAGAAACTATTATTTCCCACTTTACTTCCCAACCAGGGATCATGGTTTGTTTACTCTAAAGCATAATTCTAAGCCAATCACATACCTTGACTTATCATGGTTTGTTTGAGTGAAACAAAGCATAATTCCTGATTCAGATGTAATGCTGAGCAGCACAGGAAGAGGTCAGACCTTCTCTTTATAGCACTGGGTTTTAGTGGGTTAAAAGGATCATAGCTCAATGGATCATAGAATTGGATGGGACCACAGGGGTCATGCCATCCAACCCCCTGCAGTGTAGTAATATTTCACCCAACGTGAGGCTCAAACTCACAACCCTGAGATTAAAAGTCTCATGTTCTATCCTGACTGCAGGATGCTGGTGTCAACCCAGATGTGTCTAATACATATCTGTACCAGGTTGGCAAAGATTGATGTAGACTGCCCAGATGTCCAGAAAGGTACCATATTTGTCTTGAATAAGCTGCAAACTCAGAAATAGAAATTGTCTTCAGGTTCCCAGTGGTGGTCAGAGAGAATAAACCTGCATTTCCTCTGCTGAAAGATTATTCTATTTGCCACTAAGAATGATTGAGATGCATTTTTAATAACATTTGCAATTTTCAATGTTCAGGAGATGTGGACATATATCTAAGAAACAGATACACAATTATTGATGAAACCTGGATTGAGTCTTTTAATGTGGCAGCTTGACAGTGCCCATAATAAAGGTGCCCCGGTATGTTTTTTAAAAATGACAGGGATTAAATTTTGAGCCTGACAGGTGGAGTGATGCTTGACTTTTCCTGACGTCTGTGGAATGAGACACTACAAAAACCCATTCATTTAAGCATAGCAATCTAGTCTGCCTTTTGCTAAATTGAAAAGCAATTCAGCAAAACGGTGCCAAAGACACCAAATTAATTGAGTTTTGGAGGTGTGCTTCCATTAAAACAATAATCAGCACTGCTACTTGCTGAAATATCAAATTAAAAATTTACAAATAATCTAGGTGTATTAAAAAGAGAAACCCAATGGACTGCTTAGCTTTTGACTTCAATTTCCTCCTACCCTGTCCCTGCTTTTTGCTAAGCAGATCTGGTTTTGGATTGACACTGGCAGAACTGATGTGCATAAATCTTCCTGACAGGCCATTTGTGAGCAGCCACATACTAAATTTCTTGGTAATAGGCTTGAGTTTACTGGAAGGCAAATGGCATCGTAAATTGATAGTGTGCTAGGCAAATATGGTCACTTGTGCTATCACAGCCACAGGCTAGCACACAGCAGCTTTGTGTGGCAAACAGCAAGCGATGTAAAGTGTGTGGTGATCTAGTTGTCTGCCCAGTACAGAGTCCCGGCAAAAGATTCTTGCAAATACAACTAGCGAACATGTGCAATGTGTGGAAGCAAGGCTTAAGATTTGGGTTTCAAAGACACTGGACGGAGCTGGGATTCGCTGTTCTTGGTATACACAGATTTCATGCTGCCCTGTTCAGCAGCCACCCACCCTCTCCCTAACTCAAAACAACCCCACCCATCCCAAAATTAGAAGGCATCAGAGCGTCGTCATGTTTTGGAAGCCCTCATAAGTGAAAGGCGGGAAGCTGGGCAAGCACGCAGCTGTTTTTGGCACACAGGCGAGGTAGTTGACGTTGCAGGAAGCGGGGTCCTGCTGGCTGCTGAAGAAAACGCTGTCTGGAGAATCCATAGAAGGATCATCGTCAAAATAGTTATAAGGCCTCAAAAAGAAGCCAATCACGTTCCCAAGCGTTGGAGTGTTGGGAATGTCCTCAGCATGTGGAATATGCAGGAAGCCAGCGGTGATCCAGGCAACCAGGTCCTGCCAAAGGGAGACACAACGGATCATGTTAAATGGCTATCTAAGGGAAAGGCCTGGTGAGAGAAAAGGATGGTGCAGGAGAAGCTTCAGATATAATGAGCCACTGTTGATGCACTCCCATGAAATCTGCTCAGCCTGTATATTTTCAAATATATCCAAAGTCTCCAGTCACTGTGTGGCTTCAGGGTGATAGATCTGTCAGTGCCCATAGGGATCACAACTCACCTCATTGATAATGCTCTCATTGTTTAGGAAGTCAGCAAAGGCCACTGAAGGTGTCCATGGGTCCATCTGGTTATAGATACTGGTGCTAAATGGTTCCTTCTCTTTCCGTTTGGTGACAGCCAGCTTGTACCTGAAAAGCAGAGCACTGCTGAGACTAGTGTGTGGAATCCCAACTACCCTAGGAAGGAGATCCAGCAGTAAGCTACAGAAGATGGGTGGTTAGTATGCTGCCCTCCAGGTGTTCTGCTCCGACTCCCATCAACCCCAGCCAACATGGTCAATGGCCGGCTGGGAGTTGTAGTCCAAAAACATCTAGAAGCCCACGGGTTCCCCACAGTTGCAGTAGTGCTTGACTTTGGTCATTCTCTCAAGATGGTGGATAGACTCCCAAATTTAACTTCTCTAGAGCTGCTTGCCACTTTGGGGGTTTCTAGCTTGTTAGAATCCATATCCTCTTTGACAAACAGAAACACCACCTCCAGTATGCTCTTCCCTGTCCTTCCTATTGAGTTGTATCCAGAGATAATAACCGTGTCCCACCAGCTTTCTCCAAGCTGCCAGATTCCCATTATACCCACTTTATCTAATAATTATAATGTATTATTTGTACCCCACCCATCTGGCTGGGTTTCCCCAGCTACTCTAAGATCAAGCATCCCAGTTTGACTGTGAGGCTTCTAGCATAACTGTATCAAAACATATACACTGCGTGTCTCTCCACATATCTTTGGCACGTGTGTTTTGCCCTGCAGTGCTTTGAACTTCTATCATGTGCTCCTGTGCCTTCAATGTCTAGTTCTCCCCTGTAAATTTTGGACAATCATTAACATTTTCACCCTCATCCCTAGGGAATGATTTGTGCCAAACTGGACCCTCCTCAGCTTCTGTTGGCTTTCGGCCCATGATCAGAATGAAAGTGGTTCTGCTACTTTATATCTATATATCACCTATCTATCTATCTATCTATCTATCTATCTATCCTCTCTCTCTCTCTCAGTATCAATCACGCACCAGCAGTCTGGTTCCTCTCCTTTGTACATTCCCCAGAGCATATCAAATCCCTTACCTTCCTCCTGACACCACATATTGAGACATCTGAGCTGTGCCTGTCTAGCTTGCCCTGTCTACATGGGACAGGTAGCATTTCCGAGAAAGCTACCTTGAAAGTCCTGGTTTTCAACTTCTTATGTAGTGGCCTAAATTTTGTTTCCAAGACCACATGACTACATATTCTACTGAGTCCTGGCACTGGACATCCCCCCCCTGGCAAAGTTTCAGACGTCATCAAAGCTTGTAACTGCAGGGACTCAGATGGAGCCAGGAGAGAGACAGAGTGATGGACACAAACCAAAGCACTCAAAATCTCAACACCCTTAGAGTTAAGGAGCCCCAATTTCAGGGGGAAGGGCCATGGTATGTATAAAGCCCCGGTTTCAGTCCTCAGCATCTCCAGGTAGGGTTGGGAGAGAACATGGTCTGACACCCAGAAGACGTGCCAGTCAGTAGACAATACTGAGATAGGTGAACCAAGGTCAGTATAAGGCAGCTACCTACGTCCCCGTGTCTCTGATCTGGGTTTCCCATTTGGGTTTCAGCATCTAAAAATTAGTCACTTACCTTCCCCAACTGATGGCTCGCTCCATTGGATCTGTTTCTGGCAGGTGGTCTCCAGAGAAGCTGACCATCTGGATCCGATAGCCTTGCTTATGGCCCCACTTGTTTGTGCTGTTGGCAGCAAAATATATGTGCCTTGGCATGTTGTCGTGAAGGCGGAAGGCAGCCTTGTTCTCAGTGTCCAAGACTTTCCTTACTATCTTCATCCGGTGGATCTTATTCTCTGGACTCCAAGGGGCCTTGACTGTCTCAAAAGCCATGTCATTGGCTACCAGGGAATTTTTCACACCTAGCACAGAAAACAAATGAAGACAACTGTTGAGGCGTCATATTTTTCAGCTGCTTGGTCATGTCCACACAAGCGCAGCTTTTGTTAACATAGAAAAGCAGCCACAAGTGCCAACTCCTAGGGTCCAAGGCACTTTGTGTCCCCCAAATATTTTTAATGATCCCCAATGTTCAGGTGGCAGAAGAGGGCAAATGCAGAACTGGTGCAGCTTTAGTGGCTGGTGGCTCCTTCTGCTCCCACCGCATGGGGTGGAGTGGGGGAAGTAGCTGGTGGCACAGCAAGACAAGGAAGAGGAGGCTGATACTGGAGCCGAGTATGGCAGGGTGTGGCTCAGTGGTTGGTAGCTCCTGCTGCTGCCACCACTGGGGTAGCTTCCACCATCTTTCCTGGCCATGGAAGGGAGAGGACAGGGGCTGCTGGCCTCTGGGGCTGTGCTCAGTATTGTACCTACTGACTGGGCTCTCCATTGCTCCTGAGAGCCAGTGTGATATAGCGGTTAAGAGCGGTGGACTCGTAATCTGGTGAACCGGGTTCGCGTCTCCGCTCTTCCACATGCAGCTGCTGGGTGACCTTGGGGTAGTCACACATCTCTGAAGTCTCTCAGCCCCACTCATCTCACAGAGTGTTTGTTGTGGGGGAGGAAGGGAAAGGAGAATGTTAGCCGCTTTGAGACTCCTTCGGGTAGTGATAAAGCGGGATATCAAATCCAAACTACTACTCTTCTTCTTCTTCTTCTTCTTCTTCTTCTTCTTCTTCTTCTTCTTCATTGCCAACCCTACCTGGAGATGCCTGGGCTTGAACCTGAGACCTTCTGCATGCAAAGCAGATTTTCTACCACTGAGCTACAGCCCTTCCCTTACATTGTGGCATCATGGTGGTATCATAGTTATGGGAGAGGTCATACACTCTGTGGCATTTGGAACTGCTTGGTTTATGAAACAAATCACAGCCAGGTCAACTGTGTGGTAGCTACTATGGTCCAGAAATATCTGCTGGCCAATTATAAATGCAGTTACCTGGGTGGTCGTTCTGGCAGGAAGCCACCCAAGTTTCATGCCAAATACCTTACACTTAGATCCTATCTGCTGGACCGAGGTCAACAAAGACCATGCTATGGTGTGATGGGATGATGAGCTGCTTGTGCGTAAAATAGTATCCCCTCAGAGTTTGTTCAAGTCCACAAACCTCTGTCTGTGACGGAGCCCCTCAGACATGGCTCCTCTAGTCACTAGCAGATTCCGACAGTGGTTGCTTTCGGAATCGCTTCCAACATAAAAGCTCCTTAACGGAAACACGTCTTCTGGACTCTCTGCGTGACAGTTTCCGGCGAGGAGTGGGTGTTCCTACAGGAGGTCCTGAAACCTCCCCACTGTTTTCGCTGGAAGTGTCTCTGAGCCATCCCTCCAGCTCACTTTCCCTCAGCTCAGCTCCTCTCCCCTACTGGTTCCCTCTTCAGCTGCTGAGTCTCTCCCAACCTGTGTGAGCCCTTTCACCTCCCTTCCTTCCGATGGCAGTTCCCTGACATCCACCTCCCCCTCCAGGGCCCCTTTCACCCCCTCTCGCCCTCCTCTACGGGCGGTGAGGAGGCAAAACCCGGAATGAACTTCCTTCATCTTCCGATGTCTCGAACACTTCTCTCCACCTGTTGCGGTTCCTGGTCTCAAGTACTCCTCCTCCTCAGAGTCCATCTCCTTCCCCTTCCGAGTCCGGGAATCCTTCCAACTCCTCCTCCTCATCAGTGGTCCCAAAGTATTCCCTCCGGAACCTCTCCACAGGCTGAGGTTTCCTTGGGAACCTTTGATGGAACGTTTCTATCAATACCTCGTCATTGATATCTTCGGCCATTACCCAAGTGTTTTCTGACTCCGGTTCTCCTTCCCACGCTACCAAATACTCCACCTGATCCCCCTTCCACCTGGCGTCGAGGATTTCTGCCACATGGCTGCTGCATTCTCTTTCTTCTATGACCGGTCCCCGAGTGGCCATCCCTTCTCGTCCCCCTTCGTACGGTGACAGTAACGACCTGTGAAATACTGGGTGCAGTTTCATGTGGTTGGGTAACCGGAGCCTGAAAGCCACTGGGTTGACCTGTTGAATGACCTCAAAGGGACCCAACCTCCTGGGTCTTAATTTCTACAACCTCCTTTGAACGGCAACCCTTGGGTTGACAGCCACACCCTATCTCCCACCCTTATGGTTTCACCTTCCCTTCGGTTCTTGTCTGCCTGCCTCTTGTATTCTTCCTTCGCCCTTTCTAAGTTGAGTTGGAGCTGACGATGGATTGCTTCCATTTCTTCCACAAAATGCTCGGCTGCCGGGACGCTCCATCTCTCCCCATCTCCCCTGGGAAAGCCCTGGGATGACACCCATAATTAGCCAAGAAGGGGCTCATCCCTGTGGACACATTCTCGGCATTGTTGTAGGCAAATTCCGCCAGCGCCAACTTTTCTACCCAGTCATTCTCTCTGTCATTGACATAACACCTCAGGTATTGCTGGAGGACACCGCTTGCACTTTCAGCCTGCCCGTGGGTTTCAGGGTGCCGGGCAGTCGAAACATTGACCTCCACCTGCAGTAAGCTCATGAGCTTCCTCCAGAACCTGGAAGTAAATTGTTTTCCTCGGTCTGAGACCACCCTCAATGGCACCCCGTGCAACCTAAAAATGTGTTCTACAAATAACTTCGCTGTCTCTTCCGCCGTGACTGCATGCGAGCAAGCTACAAAGTGGCACATCTTTGTTAGTAGGTCTACCACCACCATGATGGCTGTTTTCCCTTTGGACTTCGGCAGATCAGTCATAAAATCTATCGACACTGCCTCCCAAGGTCGTTCTGGGGTTGGTAAGGGTTCTAATAGCCCCGCCGGCGCCCGCCTTTCCCTTTTGGCTCGCTGGCATTGCTCGCACCCTCTTACATACTCACGTACATCTTCCCTCACCTTAGGCCACCAAAATTCCCTGGTGACCAACCACATGGTTTTGTGTTGTCCAAAATGCCCCGCCGTAGGGCTGTCGTGCAACTGCTTGAGTACCCTCCCCTTAAGTCTCCTTCAGGGATATACAGTGCCCCTTTGTAATACAAAGCTCCATTTCTTTCCTCGAAACCCCTGGTTCCTCTCCCTCACCCCTAAGACCTCTGAGCTTATTCTGGGCGTATTCATCATTCTCTGTTTCCTCTACCAGTTCTCTTTGTCCCACCAATGCCGCCCCACACACCCAGCGGTCCTCTGGAATGACATGTCTCTCTTCGGTGCTCCCTCCCTCCAAATATTCAGGTTTGCGTGAGAGAGCGTCCGCCCTAATGTTCTCTGGGCCTGGCACGTAACCAATCTCAAAGTTAAATTTGGAGAACTCCTGGGCCCATCTCACTTGCCGTTGGGGGAGCACTCGTGCCGTCCTCCAATACTCTAGGTTCTTGTGGTCAGTGCACACTTGCACCTTATGTTGTGCGCCAATTAGCAGGTGCCTCCATCTCCGGAACGCCTCATGAATGGCTAGTAGTTCTCGGTCATACACCGTGTAGTTCCTCTCGGATTTGTTCAGCTTTCGCGAAAAAAAGGCACACGGTCTCCACTCTGACTCCTCCTTCCCTGGCTGCAGAAGCACCGCCCCAATCGCTCTGTCTGATGCGTCAGTTTCCACTCTCATCGGTTTTTGTAAATCCACATGCAGGAGTTGTTGTTCCGAGGCGAAGGCCCTTTTAGTTCCTCAAATGCTCGCTCCGCCTCCTCAGTCCAAACGAACTTCTTCTTACTGCTGAGACAGTCCGTAATGGGCGCCGTCAGGTGGGCAAAGTTTCGGATGAACTTACGATAGAAGTTCCCAAATCCTAGGAACCTCTGCACATCCTTCCTTGTTTTGGGTGTTTTCCATTCCAGCACCGCCTGGACCTTGCCGGGATCCATGGCCAATCCCTTGTCTGACAGGCGATACCCCAGGAATTCCACCTCCTTGGTATGAAACTGACACTTCTCCAGTTTCACCCACAGCAGGCTGGCTTGCAGCCTGCTCAACACTTCTCTGACGTCTCTCACATGCTGCTCCTCATTCTCAGAATACACCAACACGTCGTCTAAGAAGGCCACACAATTCTTGTAAAGCAAAGGCCCCAGGACGTGGTTCATAAACGATTGAAAGCATGCGGAGCCTGCTTGTAGGCCGAAGGGCATAACCAAATATTCAAATGCCCCTAAGGGGTGAACATGGTGGTTTTCCATTCATCCCCCTTCCTTTTTCGTACCAGGTTGTACGCCCCCCTTAGGTCCAGCTTTGTGAAAATCTTTCCCTTCCGCACCCTTGTCAAAATGTCGTCAATCCTGGGCATAGGGAAGGCCACTGGTTCTGACACTGCATTTAAGGCCCTGAAGTCACACACCAGCCTCGGCTTGTTCGTGTTTTTTTATCCACAAAAACACTGGGCTGCCCCCACCGCCCTGGACTCTCTGATGAACCCTCTCTTCAGGTTCTTGTCAATGAACTCTCTTAGCTCCTGCATCTCTCTGTCTGACATGGCGTACAGCTTGCCTACAGGGAGCTGTGCCCCAGGGAGTAAATTGATTTGACAGTCAAAGGGTCTATGCGGGGTAGTTGGTCAGCTTCCCTTTCGCTGAAGACGTCGCGGAGATCTGCGTATTGTCGTGGTACCTTCACGTTCTCCGTTACTTCAGTCCCTGCTAGGGTGGCTTGGGCCCCTGCCAAACCCTTTCCCTCTTTGCAGTGTTCTAAGCAATGTGCTGAACCAAAAGAAACCACTCTCTGATGCCAGCCCACCAGCGGATCATGTAACGCTAGCCAGCTCATCCCCTGATTTAAAGCAGAGTCTGTCGTGCCCAGCGGAAGGATGAGGAAAATGTGTTACATACTCTATATTGCTTTATTTACAGTTCAAAGCTGGTATATTACAGAAAGACATCTTGCCTCTGCAGGAGCAGAAAATGCATCCTCTCTCCTCGACAGCTTGGAGAGAAAAAACACACAGTGAAAAACAGGAAACCAGTGTACGTCACATCCAGTCTCCCTTTCCCGTGAGAAACTCCAACAGTACAGACTGTGGAATGTAAACACCTGTCTTGTGACTGCAGTTGCTGCACAGTGAAGGAAAACAGAAACCAACATCCTCCCCCTTTCTGTGAACATCACTGGGCAGCGTGTTCGTACAGTATCAGTACAAACCCAACTTCTGCACATAGGTACAGTGTTGATCCCTTGATACAATCTTGGACAATACATCAGCAGGAATTTCATTACCTGGCATATAGGACACCGTTACGAGTCCCTTCTGAATACATTCCCTAGCATGCTGCAACTTTAATTGCAAGTGCTTTGTGCTTTGCTTACAACCTTCAGACTTCAGCAAAGCCAAACATGCTTTGTTGTCCTGGTAAACCTGGATTGGACATTTGACAGGAATTTTCATATCTTTGCACAATTGTACTAACCATTCACAATCCTTAAGTGAATAAGACAGTGCATTCAGTTCGGCTTCACAAGTACTTAAGCTAACTGTTGTTTGCTTCTTGCATGACCAATCAAAAAGACCCTGATTGTACATGTAGCAAACTCCAGACGTACTTTTCCTGTCTGTAGCGTCACTTCCAAAACTTGCATCTGCAAATATCTCAAGACCACCAGACTTCTGATTGTTAAATCTCAGTCTGTAATGCATAGTGCCTTTCAAATACCGCGCTATGCGTTTCAGAGCTTTCCAATCCTTGACACTAGGATTGTTGACTTGTCTGCTTAGCAAATTACAGCTAACAGCAATGTCTGGTCTTGAACATCTGGCAATGAAGTTTAGCTTGCCTAGCACACTCCTGTACAGTGTAGTGTCAGAAAATGCTTCTTCAGTGTCATCTACCTGATAACCTGTTGTCATCGGTGTGTCTACAGGGTTAGCATCCATCAGATTTAGTTTGCTTAACACATCAGCAATTTTCCGTGACTGGTGTACTAGAATGTTACCATCTTGATCTCTCTCTATTTCCAGAGATAGGTAGTTGTTTACCTCACCAAGATCTTTCATGTCAAAGTGCTCTTTCAGTTGAGCTAGGGCGCTATTGTACATTGCAACATCTTTCCAAAAGAATAATAAATCATCAACATAAAACAAACAGTACAGTTTCTTTTGCCCCTCCTCTTGACAAATACACATGGATCAGCTTTCCTTGCTGAAAACCTAGAGAAAACAATACTTCAGTGAGCTTTGTGTGCCAACACCGTGCACTTTGTTTGAGACCATAAAGGGATTTCTTCAGAGCACAAACAAATCCCTGTTTTACCTGTACGCCATCAGGTGGAAGCATATAAAGTGATTCATCTAGAGATCCGTACAGAAAAGCTGTATTAATATCATGGTGACTAATGTGTAGATTTTCCTCTGCAGCTAGCTTAAGCATAAGCCTAATGCTTTCATATCTCACTGTGGGTGAATAGGTCTCGTGATAGTCTTCACCTGGTACCTGTGCAAAACCTCTGGCTACCAATCTGGCTTTGTGTCTGACTATCTTGCCATTTTGATCTGTCTTCGCTTTGAAGACCCATTTGCTTCCAAGCAGTTTCATTCCTGGAACTACTGGAACTAGCTCCCATGTTTTGTTCCTTTCTAAGGAATCAAGCTCAGCCTTCATGGCATTTAACCATGGCTCAGCTTCCTTTGAATCCAAACCCTGGATTTCTTGGAAACTTGAAGGTTCAAATACCTTCTTGGAGCTTTTAACAGCTGTTACTGCTATCGTAGCAAACTCATCAGCAAATCTCTTTGGAGGTCTGCCTTTGTGGCTCTCTGTGACCTACTGAATTAGCCTTAAGTCTTCAACACTCTCCTCTTCCTTCTTAGGAGAAAAACGACCTATTGTGAACAATGGTTCCTCCAATTCTTGATCAGAGCTTTCAGAGGGTCGCATAGAGGCTTTCGCACTCTTGAAATCCTCTGAATCACCCGATTCAGTTTCAGATTCAGACTCAGAACCTTCATCAGTGGGTGTGGGCTGTTGTGGTTGCTTTTGACTATCCTCAGTCTCATCACCGTCATCAGGATAACATTGGAAAATTCCACATTCTCCCCCACTTTGCATTGTACTCAACACTTCTCGTGAGCTTAATTGTCTTAGAGTCAGTCATCATTATTCTGTAAGACCCTTTCTGATAACCTAGAAAGATACCATGCAATCCACGCTTGTCTAACTTGGAGTTTTGTGGTGAGCGAACCCACATGTCAGAACCAAAAATCTTCATGTGTTTGATGTATGGCTTCTTGCCAAACATCTTCTCATAGGGGGTACATCCAATCGCTGAAGATAGTCTGCGATTGTAACTGTAAACAAAACACGAGAGAGATTCGGCCCAATAACTCTCTGGAAGATTGGCATCATGCAGCAAGGTTTTTAACCCTTGAAGCAAAGTCTGATTTGCCCGTTCCGCAAGTCCATTCTGCCATGGCGAGCGAGGACTAGACAAATCGTGTTGAATTCCTTTCTCAGTCAGAAAAGCTTCAAACTGCTGAGAAGTGAATTCCCCGCGATCACTGAAAAGAGTCTTTATCTTCTTACCATGCACATTTTCCAACCAAGCACAGAATTCCTTGAACCTAGGAAAAGCCTCCGATTTCTGCTTGAGATTGTACACAAAAATATATCTAGAAAATGCATCAATGAGAACCATGAAGTATCTATTTCCACCCAAAGAGGGCGGTAGTGGTCCAACCAAATCAGCATGAACAACCTGGTATGGTTCTGTAGCTGTCCTACTAGACACCTTACCTTTCGCAGCCATTTTCACCTTGTTTGCTGCGCATGCTTTGCACTTCATGTGGTACCTGCAGGGTTTAATAGTCATACCTTCAACCAAGGCAGGCATTTTAGATACTGCCTCAAAATGCAAATGAGCAAATTTTCGATGAAAATCGTGAATACATTCTGCATGCAAACTTTTGTTAGAACCTGCAATGCAACAAGTGTCATCCTGTACCACATCATCATAATACAAAACAAACAAATGATCAACATATTCTGCATGCAATACATAATCATTTTTCTTTGTGATGATGCACTTCTTGTTCTTGAAGGAAACGTCAATGTTCCGCTCATTCAGCTGTCCAACGCTGAGCAGATTATGTTTGGCGTCTGGCACGTAAAGCACATTCTGTATCGATAAGTCCAAACTGTGAAGAACAACAGTTCCGTAGCCTTTACTGGGAATAGTGTGGTCATCCGCCTGGTGAATCGCACCTTCCTGCGGTGTAAAAGACACAAACAGTTTCTTATCGTTGCACATGTGGTGGGTGGCCGCTGAATCAACAACGAAGAAAGATCTAGACGTCTTCTGGACCTCTGCAACCTTTGGAGTGAAGCGTGAAACCATAGCCTTGTGCTGCGTTGTCCTAGACACCGGACCTTTGCCTTTGCCTCGGCCTTTTCCGCGCGATGAGCTTTCGCTGCGCTGCTCTGTCTTGGCCCTGGGATGTCTGCATTCCCTCTTCATATGGCCTAGACGTCCACACGAGTAGCATTTAACAGCCTCCAAAGCTTTGGCGCCATCTGGTGGTTCCACTGCACTATGGGATGACGTCTGTGAAGACTTCCCTTGCCCATGCAGCTAGCACCCGGCGATCTGCTTCATTTAAAATCACGGCAGTAACATAGTCCACTGTCAGCTGAGCAGTTGGGTGCACAGCTATCTAGGTTGCAACAGACTCCCAACCTGAACCCAAAGATTGTAGTATCATGAAAGAATACACAGCCTCTGGAAAGTTGAGTCCTCTCTGTTGCAGCTCATGTCTGAGATTTTGCATCTGCATCAGATGTAAACGCACATCTCCACCTTCAGCAAGAGCCATATTGTGCAGCTTGTTAAAATAAAACATAGTTGATCCAGCTTCTGTCCTTAAGTGAGCCTCTCTCAGAGCGTCCCAAATTTCTCTGGCTGAGGTCTTATCACGCAATAGACAGAGCTCTTCTGGGGATACTATCAATGTAAGAGTTCCCTTGCTTTGCAATCCTTAGCTTCCCATGCATCTGTAACTGGCACTGGGGGGGTTCCTGTAATCACTTCAAACAAACCCTCTTTCCGCAGAATTGCCTCTGCATACTGAACCCAGTCGCTGTAATTTTTCTTGTTGAGCTTAGGAATCCCACAAGCATCCTGAAGGGCCATCATGACTCTGGCATTAGCCTTCAGCGTCATATCTATGCTGCTTTAAATCTTGCTGCGTCACTGCTGCAGCTGCCTCATTACAAAGGCACACTTAAAAGTTACTTCGATTTCCCCAGCATAGTGACTTGTGCCTGGGAGCCTTTAGCCAATTCCCGGCAAAACCGGCTTTAAAGTTCAAAGTCCAGCCATAAAGCCATTATCTTGAAGCTGGCAGGCTGCCCGGAGCAGTAGCACATACCTCATCAATCACTTCTACGCGCAGAGCAGATTCCTTTCCGATCTGTCCTCTGCATTCCGATCCTTTTGCCGGCACTCCGATTCGACCTCTGGAGTCCATAACCACGTGTTGATTTAAAGCAGAGTCTGTCGTGCCCAGCGGAAGGATGAGGAAAATGTGTTACATACTCTATATTGCTTTATTTACAGTTCAAAGCTGGTATATTACAGAAAGACATCTTGCCTCTGCTGGAGCAGAGAAATGCATCCTCTCTCCTCGACAGCTTGGAGAGAAAACACACAGTGAAAAACAGGAAACCAGTGTACGTCACATCCAGTCTCCCTTTCCCGTGAGAAACTCCAACAGTACAGACTGTGGAATGTAAACACCTGTCTTGTGACTGCAGTTGCTGCACAGTGAAGGAAAACAGAAACCAACATATAATGGGAGCTCCTCCCAAGGTGGCCACATTAAACGCTATCAGTTCGGTGTGCCTTGCCACCTTCATTATCATTGGGACGGTCTGCAAGCTGACTTCTCCTCCCAACAGCTCCCTGCCATCGATCGTGGTCACCTGCAGGGGTTGCTTAAAGGGATCGTCTGTATCTGGTGTTCAGCTGCAAACTCTTTGCTCATGAAATTGCAGGAGCTGCCTGAGTCCAACAGCGCCTTTATCTTTAGAGGGTGTCCGTTTGGCAGCTCTAGCGCCACTTCTATCACTAGGGCGGGTTTAGGAGGTTCTGGCGTGGGCACTCTCACTGCTCTTTGGCCTGGCTGCTGTGCCCCGACGGTGGCAGCCAGGCGTTGGCTTTACTTGCTCCGGTATTTCTTCCTCTCTTCCCTCCACAGCTCCTACCATCCCTTGCCATTCCTTCCTCTGGGGGCAGACTCTGGCAAAGTGACCTGGCTGTTGGCAGAGATAGCATTTCCGCGCGCGCTTTCCCTCCTTCTTTCCCCTCACTGGGCTATGAAACAGCGCGCGCGCGCGCAGTTCCGATTTCCATCGGCTCTGCCGGCGGGAAGTTGGCTCTGGAATGTCTGGAATGCGGAACTCCTTCCAACGTTCCCCTTTCCCTTCCCGCCTCTCCAATGCTCTCGCCTCCTGGCGCGCTCCTATGGTCAGCGCTGATTTGGTCAGCTGGTCCATAGACTCCGCCCTGGGCGCCCGGGAAGTTCGTCTTTCACAGCCGAAGAAAGCCCTTCTTCAAAGAGCATTTGAATGGGTTCCGCCGATAAGTCCCACCCCAATCTGTGAACCAGCATGGTGAACTCAGTCCAGTACTCACGGACAGATCGGCTCCCCTGTTTGCAAGCCATTAACTGTCTGCGCACCACTCCCTGTTCAATATCGCTGGAAAACATCAGATCCATGGCGCGAAAGAACTTCATCGTGTCCTTTAGGACGTCACTATTCGCTGCCATCAGGGGTCTAACCCAGTCTCTCGCCCCTTTTCAAGATGCCCAATCACGAAAGCCACTCGTGATTCCTCGTCAGGGAATTCATCAAACTGCAGATTGAGGGCATATTGCATCTCTGTCCGAAAGCCATGATAGTCTTTGGGCTCCCCCCCAAACTTCTGCACCAATCCTGGTACCTTTCTGGCGAGCTGGGTGGCTTTCCCTTTTTATCTGCATCCTGAGCCCTCCTCTCCTCAAGCCTCGCCGTCTGCAGCGCTAGCTGGACCTCCAACACCCGGTACCTTTCTTCCAGGCTTGGACCCGCTCCAGCTCCTGCTTCTCCGGTTCCGGCTGGGTTGCTCATGATGCCTTCTCCTGCACAAGCTGCTTTCAAAGACTGTCGGAATGCTGTGATGGGATGATGAGCTGCTTGTGCGTAAAATAGTACCCCTCAGAGTTTGTTCAAGTCCACAAACCTCTGTCTGTGACGGAGCCCCTCAGACATGGCTCCTCTAGTCACTAGCAGATTCCGACAGTGGTTGCTTTCGGAATCGCTCCAACATAAAAGCTCCTTAACGGAAACACGTCTTCTGGACTCTCTGCGTGACAGTTTCCGGCGAGGAGTGGGTGTTCCTACAGGAGGTCCTGAAACCTCCCCACTGTTTTCGCTGGAAGTGTCTCTGAGCCATCCCTCCAGCTCACTTTCCCTCAGCTCAGCTCCTCTCCCCCTACTGGTTCCCTCTTCAGCTGCTGAGTCTCTCCCAACCTGTGTGAGCCCTTTCACCTCCCTTCCTTCCGATGGCAGTTCCCTGACATATGGTCATAATCTCATCTATTTTTACACATCTAGAAGTGGGAGTAGATCTCACAGGCTGCTGAGCTCGCTCTTCCCTGTAGAAGAATGAGTCTTCAATGGTCTCAGCAAAATAAACAAATGCAAATAACTTGCAGAATCACCTTCAGCATGGCTGCAAATCAGGTTCCTCAGCGGAGACATGTAAAGTGCTGATTCCAGATCTAGACAGCATTTGTCAGGCTCCAGACAGATGTGAAGAGATGATTAAATTTGGTGGCATTATGTTCCGCTGAGCTTTAACTCATTTTTATCTTGCTATTTTATAATGTCTACTGTACTTTCTTTGGCTTGAGTTTTCTTAGCTGCCTTGTGGCAAGCTATAAATATTTTAATAGAAACAAATTAAAGCTTAGATCCTAAGATAAAATAACCTCAGGAAGTTCACCAAAGAAAGGCTTCCCATCCCTTCCTCCACCTACACATAACTGTGGTGCCCCAAAAGAGCCTCGTGGGAGGGTTGGGACCCTCCTGAATAATTTCTGATAGGCTGGGAGGGAAGAGAGGGAGACTGCCAGAAGGTCAAACTACACATTACTCTAAATGCATAGTGTACACACTGGTCCCCCCCACCTTATTTAAATTACAGATATTAAGTCCATTGCAACCATAGCACATGCAGAGGTGAGGTTAAACCCTTCCCTCTACAGATTTGATTTGAACGAAAGTTAGTTCTTTGCACAGCTATGAGACTTAAGAAAGGAAGCAAGCAAGCATTCATTCATGTGAAATGGTAGCTTGCCGTCCCCAAGCCTCAGAACCATGTGAGGAGCCAGGTTTTATCAGGATCATGGCTAAAGCAGGAAGGCTTAATCTTTCCCTCACTAAGCACAACAGTCTCAATGAAAATCTGGGGAAGGAGGGTAATCCATAATTGAATAAAGAAAATCCACACAGACAGCAGCTTACTGCACAATTAAAAGGAATGTCACATTAGGTTAACCTAGAGCCAATTTTCAGATTTGGGATTCTGTTGATTTAAAGCAGAGTCTGGTTGCCAGCGGAAGGATGAGGAAAATGTGCTGCATACTCCTTTATTGCTTTATTTACAGTTCAAAGCTGGTATATTACAGAAAGACATCTTGCCTCTGCCGGAGCAGAGAAATGCATCCTCTCTCCTCAACAGCTCGGAGAGAAACACAGAGTGAAAAAACAGGAAACCAGTGTACGTCACATCCAGTCTCCCTTTCCCGTGAGAAACTCCAACAGTACCTCTGACTGTGGAATGCAAAACAATGTCTTGTGACTGCAGTTGCTGCTCAGTGAGGGAAATAGAAACCAACATCCTCCCCCTTTCTGTGAACATCACTGGGCAGCGTGTTCGTACAATATCAGTACAAACCCAACTTCTGCACATAGGTACAGTGTTGATCCCTTGATACAATCTTGGACAATACATCAGCAGGAATTTCATTACCTGGCATATAGGACACCGTTACGAGTCCCTTCTGAATACATTCCCTAGCATGCTGCAACTTTAATTGCAAGTGCTTTGTGCTTTGCTTACAACCTTCAGACTTCAGCAAAGCCAAACATGCTTTGTTGTCCTGGTAAACCTGGATTGGACATTTGACAGGAATTTTCATATCTTTGCACAATTGTACTAACCATTCACAATCCTTAAGTGAATAAGACAGTGCATTCAGTTCAGCTTCACAAGTACTTAAGCTAACTGTTGTTTGCTTCTTGCATGACCAATCAAACAGACTCTGATTGTACATGTAGCAAACTCCAGACGTACTTTTCCTGTCTGTAGCGTCACTTCCAAAACTTGCATCTGCAAATATCTCAAGACCACCAGACTTCTGATTGTTAAATCTCAGTCTGTAATGCATAGTGCCTTTCAAATACCGCGCTATGCGTTTCAGAGCTTTCCAATCCTTGACACTAGGATTGTTGACTTGTCTGCTTAGCAAATTACAGCTAACAGCAATGTCTGGTCTTGAACATCTGGCAATGAAGTTTAGCTTGCCTAGCACACTCCTGTACAGTGTAGTGTCAGAAAATGCTTCTTCAGTGTCATCTACCTGATAACCTGTTGTCATCGGTGTGTCTACAGGGTTAGCATCCATCAGATTTAGTTTGCTTAACACATCAGCAATTTTCCGTGACTGGTGTACTAGAATGTTACCATCTTGATCTCTCTCTATTTCCAGAGATAGGTAGTTGTTTACCTCACCAAGATCTTTCATGTCAAAGTGCTCTTTCAGTTGAGCTAGGGCGCTATTGTACATTGCAACATCTTTCCAAAAGAATAATAAATCATCAACATAAAACAAACAGTACAGTTTCTTTTGCCCCTCCTCTTTGACAAATACACATGGATCAGCTTTCCCTTGCTGAAAACCTAGAGAAAACAATACTTCAGTGAGTTTTGTGTGCCAACACCGTGCACTTTGTTTGAGACCATAAAGGGATTTCTTCAGAGCACAAACAAATCCCTGTTTTACCTGTACGCCATCAGGTGGAAGCATATAAAGTGATTCATCTAGAGATCCGTACAGAAAAGCTGTATTAATATCATGGTGACTAATGTGTAGATTTTCCTCTGCAGCTAGCTTAAGCATAAGCCTAATGCTTTCATATCTCACTGTGGGTGAATAGGTCTCGTGATAGTCTTCACCTGGTACCTGTGCAAAACCTCTGGCTACCAATCTGGCTTTGTGTCTGACTATCTTGCCATTTTGATCTGTCTTCGCTTTGAAGACCCATTTGCTTCCAAGCAGTTTCATTCCTGGAACTACTGGAACTAGCTCCCATGTTTTGTTCCTTTCTAAGGAATCAAGCTCAGCCTTCATGGCATTTAACCATGGCTCAGCTTCCTTTGAATCCAAACCCTGGATTTCTTGGAAACTTGAAGGTTCAAATACCTTCTTGGAGCTTTTAACAGCTGTTACTGCTATCTTAGCAAACTCATCAGCAAATCTCTTTGGAGGTTTGCCTTTGTGGCTCTCTGTGACCTACGAATTAGCCTTAAGTCTTCAACACTCTCCTCTTCCTTCTTAGGAGAAAAACGACCTATTGTGAACAATGGTTCCTCCAATTCTTGATCAGAGCTTTCAGAGGGTCGCATAGAGGCTTTCGCACTCTTGAAATCCTCTGAATCACCCGATTCAGTTTCAGATTCAGACTCAGAACCTTCATCAGTGGGTGTGGGCTGTTGTGGTTGCTTTTGACTATCCTCAGTCTCATCACCGTCATCAGGATAACATTGGAAAATTCCCACATTCTCCCCCACTTTGCATTGTACTCAACACTTCTCGTGAGCTTAATTGTCTTAGAGTCAGTCATCATTATTCTGTAAGACCCTTTCTGATAACCTAGAAAGATACCATGCAATCCACGCTTGTCTAACTTGGAGTTTTGTGGTGAGCGAACCCACATGTCAGAACCAAAATCTTCATGTGTTTGATGTATGGCTTCTTGCCAAACATCTTCTCATAGGGGGTACAACCAATCGCTGAAGATAATCTGCGATTGTAACTGTAAACAAAACACGAGAGAGATTCGGCCCAATAACTCTCTGGAAGATTGGCATCATGCAGCAAGGTTTTTAGACCTTGAAGCAATGTCTGATTTGCCCGTTCCGCAAGTCCATTCTGCCATGGCGAGCGAGGACTAGACAAATCGTGTTGAATTCCTTTCTCAGTCAGAAAAGCTTCAAACTGCTGAGAAGTGAATTCCCCGCGATCACTGAAAAGAGTCTTTATCTTCTTACCATGCACATTTTCCAACCAAGCACAGAATTCCTTGAACCTAGGAAAAGCCTCCGATTTCTGCTTGAGATTGTACACAAAAATATATCTAGAAAATGCATCAATGAGAACCATGAAGTATCTATTTCCACCCAAAGAGGGCGCTAGTGGACCAACCAAATCAGCATGAACAACCTGGTATGGTTCTGTAGCTTTCCTACTAGACACCTTACCTTTCGCAGCCATTTTCACCTTGTTTGCTGCGCATGCTTTGCACTTCATGTGGTACCTGCAGGGTTTAATAGTCATACCTTCAACCAAGGCAGGCATTTTAGATACTGCCTCAAAATGCAAATGACCAAATTTGCGATGAAAATCGTGAATACATTCTGCATGCAAACTTTTGTTAGAACCTGCAATGCAACAAGTGTCATCCTGCACCACATCATCATAATACAAAACAAACAAATGATCAACATATTCTGCATGCAATACATAATCATTTTTCTTTGTGATGATGCACTTCTTGTTCTTGAAGGAAACGTCAATGTTCCGCTCATTCAGCTGTCCAACGCTGAGCAGATTATGTTTGGCGTCTGGCACGTAAAGCACATTCTGTATCGATAAGTCCAAACTGTGAAGAACAACAGTTCCGTAGCCTTTACTGGGAATAGTGTGGTCATCCGCCTGGTGAATCGCACCTTCCTGCGGTGTAAAAGACACAAACAGTTTCTTATCGTTGCACATGTGGTGGGTGGCCGCTGAATCAACAACGAAGAAAGATCTAGACGTCTTCTGGACCTCTGCAACCTTTGGAGTGAAGCGTGAAACCATAGCCTTGTGCTGCGTTGTCCTAGACACCGGACCTTTGCCTTTGCCTCGGCCTTTTCCGCGCGATGAGCTTTCGCTGCGCTGCTCTGTCTTGGCCCTGGGATGTCTGCATTCACTCTTCATATGGCCTAGACGTCCACGCGAGTAGCATTTGACTGCCTTCAAAGCTTTGGCGCCATCTGGTGGTTCCACTGCACTATGGGATGACGTCTGTGAAGACTCTCCTTGCCCATGCAGCTAGCACCCCGGCGATCTGCTTCATTTAAAATCACGGCAGTAACAAAGTCCACTGTCAGCTGAGCAGTTGGTTGCACAGCAATCTGGGTTGCAACAGACTCCCAACCTGAACCCAAAGATTGTAGTATCATGAAAGAATACACAGCCTCTGGAAAGTTGAGTCCTCTCTGTTGCAGCTCATGTCTCAGATTTTGCATCTCCATCAGATGTAAACGCACATCTCCACCTTCAGCAAGAGCCATATTATGCAGCTTGTTAAAGTAAAACATAGTTGATCCAGCTTCTGTCCTTAAGTGAGCCTCTCTCAGAGCGTCCCAAATTTCTCTGGCTGAGGTCTTATCACGCAATAGACAGAGCTCTTCTGGGGATACTATCAATGTAAGAGTTCCCTTGCTTTGGAATCCTTAGCTTCCCATGCATCTGTAACTGGAACTGGGGGTTTCTGTAATCACCTCAAACAAACCCTCTTTCCGCAGAATTGCCTCTGCATACTGAACCCAGTCGCTGTAATTTTTCTTGTTGAGCTTAGGAATCCTACAAGCATCCTGAAGGGCCATCATGACTCTGGCATTAGCCTTCAGCGTCATATGCTGCTTTAAATCTTGCTGCGTCACTGCTGCAGCTGCTTCATTACAAAGGCACACTTAAAAGTTACTTTCGATTTCCCCAGCATAGTGACTTGTGCCTGGGAGCCTTTTGCCTATTCCCGCAAAACCGGCTTTAAAAGTTCAAAGTCCAGCCATAAAGCCATTATCTTGAAGCTGGCAGGCTGCCCGGAGCAGTAGCACATACCTCATCAATCACTTCGACGCGCAGAGCAGATTCCTTTCCGATCTGTCCTCCCTCTGCATTCCGATCCTTTGCCGGCACTCCGATTCGACCTCTGGAGCCCATAACCACGTGTTGATTTAAGCAGAGTCTGGTTGCCCAGCGGAAGGATGAGGAAAATGTGCTACATACTCTAAATTGCTTTATTTACAGTTCAAAGCTGGTATATTACAGAAAGACATCTTGCCTCTGCAGGAGCAGAAAAAAGCATCCTCTCTCCTCGACAGCTCGGAGAGAATCACACAGTGAAAAACAGGAAACCAGTGTACGTCACATCCAGTCTCCCTTTCCCGTGAGAAACTCCAACAGTACCTCTGACTGTGGAATGCAAAACAATGTCTTGTGACTGCAGTTGCTGCTCAGTGAGGGAAATAGAAACCAACAGATTCTTGATCCCTCAGTAGACCACTGTGCCCCATTCCACATTTTTCAACCCTTCAGAGAAGGGGTATCAGACCCTGCAGGGGAGAATGTGGGATGGGGAACGTTCTTGTTTTGGATGCAAGTTAAAGAGTGTTAGAGGAGACCCGACAAGTGAAGAGAATTGCATAGCAAGATGCAGCCTTCTAAACCACAGTCTGAAGGCGATTACTGGGTTTCCTAAAGAACACAAAGAGAATGAGCCCTGTTCATTTTAAGGTAATTCAATAAGAGAAGAAATTGTACTTACAGGAATATTTCTTCCCAGATTACTCCAATCCATAATTTATATTTATGGTACATGCTTAATAAGTACCATATTTTTCTCTATATAACACTCACATTTTTTCTCCTAAAAAGTAAGGGGAAATGTCTGTGCGTGTTATTGAGCGAATGTGTGGTCCCTGGAGCCGACTGGCCTGAGTACAGGGGCAAAAATCAGATCACGGAGGAGAGAAGGCTAAAAAGAGGAGGTTGCTGCTTTCCTGCATTCTGCCTCAGGGTCTTACTGCCCACTGTTTTCGCTAGGAGCGCAGCCGACAGCCACCACCTCCTCCTCTCCGTGCTCGCTGCTGCTGCTGTATCCAGCATCGCAGGCAGCTGGAAAATGCAGGTGGGAGAGAGAGAGAGAGAAAGAGAGAGAGAGAGGGCTGGCTTGGATGGGTGGGGAAAAACTTTTGCCTTCCTTTCCTCCCTCCCGTTAAATCCCTCTCCTGCATTGTTAGCCAGCTGCTTCTCCGCACACCCCTCTCATGCTCCTTGTCCCTTCTGTGTTTTTCCTTCCCTCCCCACTTAAAACGTGGTTACAAAGCACGGATCCACATGGATCCTCAGGATCTTTGCATTGGGTCACCCCAAATTCACCATCAGATCACATAGCATGTCCATGGCTACAGCCTGCACCAAAAAAATCACGCACCCACTGTTGCCTTGAGCTGCAATGGTGCAAAAACGTGGTTACAAAGCACAGATCCACATGGATTCTCAGGATTTTTGGATTGGGCTACCCCAAACTCACCGTTAAATCCCATGTCTGTGGCCACAGCATGAAGCACAAAAATGATACATCCACTGTTTCATTCAGAATTTTTTTTTCTTGTTTTCCTCCTCTAAAAACTATGTGCGTGTTATGGTCAGGTGTGTGTTATCGAGCAAAAAATACGGTATATCCCTGCCCCATTTTCCATGCCATTAAGACAATGTTGTCATGGCACACTGTTCAAACACATATTCATGTTTGCACTGTCATCATACGTCATCCATCAGCTCCAGCCTCTCCCACCTGGCCTTACACGGAATGAGTGAGCCTGTTGCTGAAATCTCAAGAGAGATTGCAGATTCTATAAACATACAAGTCACAAGAATACCTACAGCCCAAAAGCTGGACTTGGCTTCAGGACAGCCCAAAATCTATGTCTGTGGCAGCAAACTCCAAGTGTTGGAGATGAGCAGCAGCTCAGGTTTCCTGCAAACTGTTGTTCCTGTTAGTAAATCAGTCCACCGAGGCTGCATTTTGTGATTGGTATAATTCACATGACTGACTGAGAGAGTGTGAGAACAAGAAGAAACAGTCTTATCTCTTCCTGCTGCATATGTCCTTTGTAACTGTACCTTCGCTTTTACAGTGCCTGTCCTCGAAGCTTAAGAGAATGCTAGCCAATATGTTTTCTCTGTATATAATCTGTAAATAAAACGTAGAATAGAACTACGGAGTCTCCTGCTTATTGCTGTACGATGCCAGGAGATTAGTGTGCATAAATCATTATGATTTGTGTCGCTGGGGCGTCTGGAAAAGAAGGGAGTAGCATTTCCAGAACCACGCTCACCGAAGGACGCCTGGAGAAATGGGGGGCTGCCAATACCCCAGGGCATCTTCCAACATTTCTCTGAGCCTTGAATGCCTGTTTTTCTATTACTCTTGGCAGAGAGAGTGGCATGAAAAGGAAGTAACCTCTGGTAAGCTGTTCATGTAAACCATAACAAGGAAAACATATTTTAAGAAGGAACAACAGTTTAAGGAGGATATTGACAACAGGAATGTGTGCAGAGCAGAGCAATGAAGATGATCAAGGGTCTGGAAACCAAGGCTTATGAGGAATGGTTGAGGGAGTTGGATATGTTTACCCTGGAAGAAAGAAGACATAGAGATGATAGCCTTCTTAAAAGTTTCTGAAGGGCTGTCACATGGATAGTGCAGAAAGCCTGTTTTCTGGTGCTCCAGAGGATAGGACACGAACCAATGGATTCAAATTTCAGGAAAAGAGATTCTGACTAAACATTGGGAAGAATGTTTTGAGAGTACTGTAGATGTTCAACAGTTCAATGCACTACCTTGAAAGCTGGTGAGCTCTCCTTCCTTGAAGGTTTTAAACAGAAGTTGGAGGGCCACCTGTCAGGGATTAAATAGCTATGACTCCTGCAGTCCAGGGGATTGGACTAGAGGACCCTTGGAGTCACTTCCAAGTCTATCATTCTGTGATTCTTTCTGTATGGGCTACAAGCAGTCAGCAAGCAAGCCACAAACAGGCACAGAAAAGCCACAAAAGAGACATCCCCTTACCAGCAGTAGAAATTACTTCAATCCATAAGTTACAAAAGAGGTGTACACTTACCACCAATGTCCATATCCACCTTGAAATTAATGTTGTGAGTGTGAATTGTTCCCAATGTCCACTCTTCAACTCTGTTTCCAAATTCCAAGGCATCGCCAAAGTAAAAAGCAGATTGAATGTATCCACTTGCATGGATCCTGATCCCGATAGCTCCATTTTGATGAAATATAAAATCCCAAATATAATCATAATTACCAACTGTAGATATGGACCTGAAGACAAGAGCAGAATCCACCAACCCTCCGTAAAACGGAGGCTCTGAGCGGTCATAATGGCGTCTCACAGGGACCTCAGCATTCTGCTCAAAGATGCAGATAGAGCCTTTGCGAGTGACAGGCAAGGAGGAATCAAGAAAATAGTGCCTGTCCAAATAGGTAGCCAGGTAAGGACAATCCACGCCCTGGGTGAGAGTGGAGCCAGTTAAACCAAGGCCAAAGCTTAGGTCCATGTATCTGGTCAGCATTGCCCCTGGAGTGTTGGAGCCATAGATGGCAGATGCATCTTGCAAGCTTAACTCATAGACTATCCTCTCACCCTTAAACCTAACATCAAAGATCTGTGGCCCCCTATTAGCATCTATGCCAAAGGCAAAACTCCAGGGCATGAAGAAAACCTGGTTATTCCAAATACGGTAGCGGGGGCCACGAGGTTCATAGTGCAAGGGGCCTAGTCTCTGGTGTGGAACCCTCTGCTTCAATGAGGAATATCCTCCATCAGAAGGAGCCTTTTTGACCTTGGCTATTTTAACATGTCCCGTAATGAACTGTCTCTCAATATCTTCCATGTCCTCAAAGTACTGTCCATTATAGAAGACTTTTAGCACTTTCCAATGAGAAATGTCTAGGCTGCTAAGATCTACCAGAATTTCAAATCCAACCGGATGCAGATAACTGCCAGGGACATTCTGGGAATGAACAACCCAGATTTTCCGGTCTCCTGATTTTTGTCCAGGTGGTAAGGCAGGGAAGTTTGTGAGATTGCTTCCATTGTAATATAGTACTTTCTGCATAAAGTTTGGAGCCTTGGGGTATTCTTTGTTCTTCAGGAAAGTAACGATTTCTTTGAACTCATTATTTAGGAGAAACCTTCTGGAGTAAGGCAACTTCCCTCCATACTTCTGCACTGTGACATCTTGGTGGTACATTGGATTTGGAAGAGGACCAACCACAAACTCTGTCACATTTGGGTCCTGCTGGTTTCCAAAATGGAGTACAGCCAGAGCTTGCCGTGCAGGCCTGCTCCCTTGGTGGTCCAGGAATTGGAGCACTTCAGCTTTGGGAGGAAGCTGAAGGGTGATAGAAAAAATGCAGTTGTCCGATGGCTTGGCTTGAGGAGGTTCTGCCAATGGCACCCCCAGGTTGTACTGCAGGTAGATCTTCACTTGCATGATCTCTTCCGGAGTCAAATCAGCAAATACCTGGCTGTAGATTCCATGGCTTTTTTCCTCCCTTCCCATCTCTTGAAGATGGCTGTCACAAAGCATGGGCTTCCCTCCTCTGTTTTGGAAAGCCCAGACCAAGATGAATATGATGGCTGTGCACAGAGCTAAAAGAAGATAAGCCAATTTCATGTTCATGTTCAGCAACACTGTAAGCAGGTTCCAGGGATTTCACAAAGCAGACTGTAGAATGCAGATTGAATCAGCAAACAGAGTATCTAGAATCCCAGGTGAGGGCAAATCAAAGTTTTGGTGAGAGTCCTGCTATGCAAATGAGCTTCGAAACCTCAATAATCTTTTTATGTAGGCAACCACTGACCATATGATGCAGCTCAATTTTCCTGTAAAGAGGAAAGCAATGATGTATTCCGTCACACCTTGATAACCTGATTTGTCAAGTCTGAACACCTTTGTTCCTAAATGAGTTAGACGCAGGCTACAGAGCTGCAACAAACCACTCTTAAGTAATCTTCTTTATGCAGTGGATGAAAAAAAATGTTTGGAAGAGGAAGCTTTGCAGAAAGAAAGTGCTAGCAGAACTTCCTAGTGGCTGAGTCTTCCAACTGATGCAGCACTTAACTCCACTGAGGCCACACCCTCAGAACTACTGGCAGTGACTGGAG